TTATAAGTGTACAGCTTAATCAATTTCCAGACTGAACACACCCAGATCAAAAATAAGAGTATTGCTGCCTGATTTTGAATTCTACATAAGTAGGATTATATAGTATATATTTTCTTATGTTGACTTCTTTCATAATTATATTTTTTTAATTTTTATTTTTATTTCAATGGTTTTTGAGATTCAGGTGGTTTTGGTTACATGGATACTTGGATAAGTTCTTCAGTGGTGATTTCTGAAATTTTAGTACACCCATCACCCAAGCAGTGCACATTGTACCCAGTGTGTACTCTTTTATTCCTCACCCCTCCTCCCAACCTTCCCCGCCACATCCCCAAAATCCATTATGTCATTCTTATGCCTTTGCCTCCTCATAGCTTAGCTCCCACTTATATAAAAGCGAAATCATACGATATTTGGTTTTTCATTCCTAGATTATTTCACTTAGAATAATGGCCTTCAGCTTCATCCAAGTTACTGCAAAAGACATGATTTTATTTCTTTTTATGGCTGATTAGTATTCCATGATGAATATATACCACATTTTCTTTATCCACTCGTTGGTTGATGGGCACTTAGGTTGGTTCCATAGTTTTGCAATTGTGAATTGTGCTGCTATAAACATGCGTGTGCATGCATCTTTTTCATATAATGACTTCTTTTCCTTTGGGTAGATACCCAGTAGTGGGATTGCTGGATCAAATGGTAGTTCTACTTTCAGTTCTTGAAGGAATATCCATACTGTTTTCCATAGTGGTTGTACTAATTTATATTCCCACCAGCAGTGTAAAAGTGTTCCACACACCAGAAGAAATAATCATTAAACAGACAACCCACAGTGTGGGAGAAAATATTCACAAACTATGCATCCAACAAAGGATAAATATCCAGAATCTACAAGAAGCTCAACAAATCAACAACAACAACAAAAAATAATCTCATCAAAAAGTGGGCAAAGGATATGAATAGACAATTCTCAAAAGAAAATATACAAACAGTCAACAGACATATGAAAAAAATGCTCTGCATCACTAATCATCAGGGAAATGCAAATTAAAACAACAATGAAATACCACCTTACTCCTGCAAGAATGGCCTAACTAAAAAGTCAAAAACCAATAGATGTTGGCATGGATGTGGTGAAAAGGGAACTCTTTCATCATTACATTTCTGAGATACATCCCTGCTAGTACATGTAGTTGTAATTTGTTCATTTTAACTACTATGTAGTATTCCATTTTATAAGTATACCATAATTCATCATCTATTCAACTGCTGATGGACACTTGAACTACAGCCAGTTTGGAAGCATCATGAATACTGCTGCTATGAACAGCCTTGATCATGTCGTTTGGTATACATATATGCTCACTTCTTTTGGATTTATGCCCAGAAGCAGAATTGTTGAGTCATAGGATTGACATATGTTCACTTTTAGTATACATTGCCTGTATTAGTCTGCTCAGGTTTCCAAAACAAAATATCACAGGCCTTAAACCACATAAACTTATTTTCTCACAGTTCTGGAGGCTGGGAAGCCCAAAATCAGAGTGCTGGCCAATTCAGTGTCTGGTGAGGGCTCCCTTCTTGTCTTGAAGATGGCCACCTTCTTGCTGTGTCCTCACATGGGAGAGGCAGATAGCACACAACAATGAGCTCTCTGGTGTCTGTTCTCATAAGGATGCTAATCCTGTCAGGTCAGAGCTGTATCCCTGTGACCTCACTTAACCTTAACTTAAAGATTTGAAGAATTATCAGCTATCCATGTTGCAAAAAACTGAGAAAGCTCTTTCTGAAAAGAATGCTAAGGTGTGGCTCATGATAAAGAGAACATGAGTTTGACTTAGGTGGACTTTACCAGTCATTTCAACAGAAGTCAGGAATAGAGATGAAATTACACCTGTAGAGAGACTGCCAGTTTGAACTAAAGGGGAGACAGAGAAAGTGGGATGGAATGAAAGAATGCTGTTCAACTTTGGAGTCCATAGGACCGTAAGGACCATAGAGCTATTTGGCTGTCAGTGTGCTCTATTCCTCAAGAAAAGGAAGAATGATGCAAAAGGCATTTTTAGGGATTGTCAGGACTGCCACTCCCACATAAGGCCAGGAGAAGGGCTGGTGCCCTGTCTAGCCTAAGGGCCAGGGCCACCCCACACAGCCATGGTAGTGATGCTGGCACCCCAGTGGGCCTGGAGGGCAGAGCATTGAGCCAAAGAGGGCTATTCTCGAGCCTTAAGAGCTAATGGAATTTGACTTGCAAAGATTTTGAGCTTGCTTGGGACTCATCACTCTTTCCTTCATTCTGATGTCTCCTTCTGGAATGAGAATATCTATTCTATGCCTTT